AAGAAGCTGTGTGTCGGGTGGGTGGGATCACCTGCAATGCAGAGGGCTTTGTGGGTGAGACGGGTGTTGTAAATGTCCTGGAGGGAGGGGAGAGAGGCACCAACGATCTTCTCAGCTGCTCTCACTATGCGCTGAAGTGTCTTGCGGCAGGATGCGTTGCAGGCACCATACCACACAGTGATGCAGCTCGTCAGAATGCTCTCGAAAATATTGAGATGTTATTTTTTGTCAATATCGCACACCCCTAGTACTGACAAAATGATTTGCAACGGTCGCTTTGTCACGCCCAGTGTAGACGGCCTCAAACTGTTGGTGTACCTCTGTCTCTTTTTTTTTCTTTTTTTTTTGGCTAGTAGAAGTTATGAATGGCCGGTAACTTAAAAATTTAGTAGCCACATTGGCTGGTGAGTGAAAAAGTTAATTTCAATCCCTGATTACATCCCTACATGCCACTAAACACTCTGTCATTCTCAAACATGTATGCATGAAGGAGATTAAAAGTCAGTTTTAAAACATTTACATAATCATTGTGTGTTTGACTAGGTGTAAGATCTCAGTCTCCCTCTAGTGTCAGTCAACAGCAGAACAGCAGTCAGCCATCAGAACAGAACCAGAGTCAAGCGGGAAACAACACACTGCTGTCTGGTCAGTATTTACCTGTTAACCATAAAGAAATACATATAAATCTTTCCCAGTGGGCAATTGACGTTTAAAAGACGTCAGTTTGACATCAAAAAACAGGTCAAATATGCAAATCAAAGTGATGTAAAAAAAAAATTGACATGATATTGATTTGATGTAAATTGACCGTCGAACATATTGGCCTGCATATACATCAAACCAATTTCAGTGTGGGATTAACTTCCTATTTTCACCCAATTACCACTGGAATAAATTGCAGTCCAAACTGAATTAAAAATTATGTTACAGCATCTTGATCATGTCTTGACTAATATTTGATGTCAAATTGATATCAAGGTGCCCGCTGGGTTACAAGCTGAACACACTTAGAAATAACTTTTAACTAACAGGACTGATCTCACAACTAAATTACTAAAAAACAGTTTAACATGATATTTGTATATTTCAGCTGTCATTTCATTATCAAAAACTGCAACACAATATATACTTATCTATTTAGAATGTTAATAGCACATGAAATATTTAATCCTTAGTGCTTTATATTTTTAGGTCAACCTGAACACAGTTTTTTGTGTGGGATTGAATTCATACAATGCATGATAAAATAATATTATTGGAAATTATATATTCTATTGGAAATTAAATTTATTACAGGAACTGCTCATATTTATGAGTCTGTTGATGCAACGATTCATAAAGACATAATTACAGGTAACTAATGATGTCATTTAAATAATTTTGTCATAATATTTTTTACTGAATCAGCAGTTATTTTCTAAAGGAAGTAGAAATCCAATCCATGGTTGTTATTTATTTATTTATTTTCACTATGATTTTTGCAAACAGAAAAGTTAAACCAAGTATTCCTTTCTCTATTATTGATTGTAGACAGTGTAAGTGGACTTGAACATATCTATGCTGAGATTGAACTCAAGTATTTTGGGGGAAAACCAGTGAAAGTTCTGACATTAGCTGCGTTTCCATCCACCTATTTTTATGCGCACATGTATAATTATATATATATAATTATATATATATATATATATATATATATATACTTAAATATGAATTATTAT